TAGTATGCCGTGTTCAGAGTTTCAGTCCATAATCGTCTGTAATAAAGGCATCACAGTTACAGATAAACCAAGTTCATAATGTCTTTTCTTCTTTTCTTCTGTGCCGTTCTGGGGCTTGCACTCAGGAAATGGACACTATCCCTGAAGTTTATTTTTTCACCTCAAGGCTACTACTTCATCACTGGAACAACAATTCTACTTCTAGTTTTTTGGACATAATTGGAAATAGAATTCGTACAGGCTTTCCTGCCCAAGTTGGCTTCAATCACTGATCCTCAACCTCATGAATAGCGAGGATTAGCAGATTGGCCACAGAGCCTGGCAGCAACTCTCTTCCTTTTTATTTCTTTTTCTTTGTTCCTTTTCTCCAGTTATGGGCCTGAATTCTAGGCTTGAGCGCTGTCCCTCATCTCTTCAGCTGAAGGCTAGTCTCAACCACTTGAGCCACAGAGTGATTTCCAGCATTGTTTCTGCTTAAGTGGTATAGAGCAATTGAATCCAGGGCCTTATGCATGCAAGGCACGCACTCTACCACTGAGCCACCTTCCCAGCCTCATCTTTCCTTTTCTTAAAAAATATTATTAGGAAGATGATGTTCAGAGGGATAACAGTTAAGTCAGTTAAACAGTTGTCAGGTAAAGAATCCATTTTTGTGGGACAATTACACCCCTTTACTTTTTCTCAGTTTATACCTCTCACTGTGGCTTTTTTGTGGTTAGCTGGAGATAAGAATCTTGCAGACTTTGCTGCCCAGGGTGCTTTTGAACCGTGATCCTCAGATATCAGGCTGCTAATGAGCTTGAATCTGAAAGACAAGGAGACTGTTCTGAAGGTTGTCCTATACTGGTTATAGGACTTATGCAGTGAATGCCAGGCAGATCAGTCATCTAGTCATCTGGAAGCATGTGTCCCTACTTAACGCTGACTGTCTCTCAAAACAGAGAGGTGATGCAAGAACCAGTTTGTACCAGCTCAACAGAAGTCCTCATTATATATGTCTTATTCAACAACTATTTGGTTGCTTATATTATCAAGACATTTTCTTTCTTAAGAACTTTTTTATTGTAAGATTGCAAAAACTACAGATCCATAATGGTCTAGGAATACATATCTGCTATCAGCTTTAATATCAAAGCCACATAGCTGCTACAAATCATGTTTTATTGATCTTATAGTAGTTCTTAAATATTAATCTTTATTAGTAATGATATTATTGATATAAGTATTAAAGTTCTTCAAACATATTTCTCTTATTAAATGAATCCTTACAGTGACATTGAAAGCATCTTCTGGAGCAGCATTGGAAAAGATACTTGGATAATACTAAGAATGAAGGATGAAAAGTGAAAAACAGAACTAAGAGAATTACCAGTGTGACTGGGAAACATCTTCTACAGAGCAGAATCCCAGATTTCTGGAAACATATGTGAGAACAGGGCTTCAAACAGTACATGTGACCTCATGGGTGAGCCTCAATGTTGCCACATAGATGTTATTCTTATTCCTATATGAAAGTTTTATGTTAGATGGGCTTTCACAACCCCAGATTTATGAAAGTTTGCTGCCTTCTTTCCTTCAATATTACTTCATACTTTGCTATTGAGTGTAATTATTCTTTTAATACATGAAAACTCAACACCATCTCTTGGACTGAGGCAATTCCTGTCTCCCTATGAATAGATCTGTTATTTAGGAGGCTTCCTTGGGTTGGGTAGGTGGCTCAGTGGTAGAGCACTTGCCATGCATGCTTGAGGCCCTGGGTTTGATTCCTCAGCACCACATAAGCAGAAAAAATGCCAAAAGTGGCGCTGTGGTTCAAGTGGTATAGTGCTAGCCTTGAGCTGAAGAGCTGAGGGACAGCACCCATGCCTAGAGTTCAGGCCTCACGACCGGATAACTGCCCCCCCAAAAAATAGGCTTCTTGACAGGTGCCAGTGCCTCCCTACTTTAATACTAGCTTCTCAGGAGGTTGGGATCTGAAGGTCACAGTTGAAGCCTGCCTGGGTAGGAAAGTCCATCAGATTCTCATCTCCAATCAACTACCAAAAAAGCCAGAAGTGGAGCTGTGGCTGAGGTGGTAGAACACTAGGCTGGAGCAAAAAACGCATAGGCAGCACCCAGCCTGAGCCTGAGCCCCAGACCAGCCTTCAGGCACACACACACACACACACACACACACACACACATACACACACAAGTGGCTTTCTGCCAGACATGTCATGTGGGCCTATGAAATGGTTGGAGACCCCTCTTCAAATGGACTTGCCCTTGTATTTACTCCAGTAATGTGGAAATTGACTCTCAGTCACCTATTGGCCCATTGGTTCAGGATTTGTACTTTGCATCCCACTTCCTTTGCTGTTTTCTGTGGTGAGTTTTGTAGCTCAACACAGATGTCAATACACTTCAAGATGCTGCTTACGGTCTCAGGGCCTGCATTCACACTACACATGGAAAAATAAAACATGACCTGAGAGTCTCTGCTTACTCTGAGGACCAGCTATCCAAGCAACGGCAGCTTCCTATGAATGGCAAACTGGAATCCAGGCTCAGGTTGTTCACAACAGACAGATGTGAGTTGTGTAAGGCTTGAATTGTTCTAAGGAAAAGCAGAGAATGGAGGAAGGCAGAGAAACTGGGAAAAGACAATCTACCTTCCCATGTTTCCTTGCAGTTCCTGGTCCACATTATATGCTTTGCTAATTGTTCTGCTGTCTGTGTGTGTGTGTGTGTGTGTGTGTGTGTATGTGTGTGTTTGAGAGTGTCAGTGAATGTTTGCATGTGTACAGTAGTTCTGGGCCTTGAATTAATGGGCTGGACACTGGGAAGGCAGAGTGAATATGAGCAAGTACATCATATGTGTGTGTGGAAGTAGCTCCATCAAACCTCTGAGTGTGCAACTAGTATATACTAATGAAAGTGAAAAAATGATTAAGCAATGCTCAAAATCCTCCATAAGCTATTTAGAGATAACTTTAAAAAAGGATCAGGAAGCATAGTTGGTAGGGGATATGAAAACACCTGTAGTTAAAACTGTGGGATTATTCAAGCAAGGTGCTGGTGGCTCATGCTTGTACTCCTAGATATTCAAGAGGCTGAGATCTAAGGATCATTATTTGAAACCTGCCCAGGCTGAAAAGTTATCACACTCTATATAAGATATACTACTCAGAAAAAGCTCAAAGTGGCACTATGAGGCTTAAGCAGTAGAGTGCACAAATTCAAACCACAGGACTGGCAGAAAAAAAAGAAATAGTGCAAACATAAGATGTCTAAGGTGTTTTAGACTAAATGTCGTATATAAACAAGTTACTATATTTTGGGGCTCATTTGTTGTTGTTGTTTTAAATATATTATGTATATTCTTACAATATATCCCCTTTTGACTTTGACTTGACTTTGTTACCGTGCACGTTGTATATACATTTTTCTAATTTAGGGAGGGGAACCAAAATAACAAAATGCTGAAACAAGGACACAGGACGACCCGTTGCAACAATGATATCCATAGGACAGTATGTTAGAAATGAACTTTACAACTTTGGGTGGGGAAAGGTGGAAGGGAAGGGAAGGGATAGTAGAAAAAAACAAGGGAAGGGGTAACAATGCTTGACCAGAAATGTACTCATTGCCTTATTCATGTAACTGTAGCCTCTCTATAGAATCTTCACAATAAAATAAGATTTAGAAAATGAAAAATATCTAGTTACAGCTAAAGTACGAAAGGAAAAATCCTTTCATTCATTTGCCTGTGGCAACAGAAATAAGAAATACACAGTCAATAGATATTTATTGCAAACCCCACACAGATTCATGCCCATGGCTACTTCACCCTCCTTGTCTTCAGGGGAAAGTCAGGAGGAATCAGTACAAGTTTCCTATCCAATAGCAGTCTACTCAATTCCTGTACCAAGACTGCCATCTGTAGTACATCAGATGGAAAAAGTTAACATTCCTTCCAAAAGGGTCTCAAATGAGCCCTATAAACCATAGCCTCCAACTTTCCTGATTTAACTCTTATTTCCTTTCCCAAGCTACAAATACATATAAACTTGTGGAGGGCTCTACAGAGATGGACAAAGACTTATAAAACATATACTGTTTCACACCTGTAGAAAATTAAAACTAGACCCTTATAAAGCACACTGCACAAGAATCAACTCCAAAGGGATCAAAGACCTCAGAGCCAAAGCAGATATCCTGAAAACATTACAGGAAGGAAAAGGAGAAACTCCAGGGCTCATGGCACTTGCCAAAAGTTTCTTAATAAAGACCCAGAAACACATAAAATCAAAGAAAGTTTGGACAAATGAGATTGCATGAAACTGCAGACCTTCTGCACGACCAAGGACATAGCTATCAAGATCAAGAGAAAGCCCAAGGATTTGGAGAAGATCTTCACTAGGCTTACAATGGACAAAGATCTCATATCTAACATATAATTAGACCTCAAAAAATTAAATCCACCAAAAACAAATCCTCAAAGAAACAACTGCTGATAAATAAGTGGGCTAAAGACTTAAAGAGAAAGGTCTGAAGAGGAAATAGGAATGGCCAATAGACACATGAAGAAATGCTCAAATTTGTTAGCCATATAAGAAATGAAAATCAAGACAACGTTGAGATTCCACCTCACCCCAGTTTGAATGGCTATAATCAACAAATTTAATAATAACTGATGCTTGGGGGATGTGGTCAAAGGGAACGTCCTGCATTGTTGGGGGGAGTGTAAACTTGTTCAACCACTTTGGAAAGCAGTATATTAAAACTACCAGCACAACCATGTTTATTGCAGCATTATTTACCAAAGCTAAGGTATGGAACCAACCAGATGCCCCTCAGTATATGAATGGATCAAGAAAATATACACAATGGAATTCTATGCCTCCATCAGAAAGAATTAGGCAGGTACCTGAGGAGCAGCCGGGATGCCGCTGATCAGAGCCGCTTGAGGCTAGGGCTGCACCTTCTCTGCCCTGATAGGCATCCTACTCTTGCAGGATTAGTGCAGCTTCTGACATATGAGGTTATGTTGGAGAAAATGTCAAGTTGAGATGTACCTTCAAGTCATCTTCACATGTCACTGACAAACTGACCATAGAATGTAAGTTCTGTCCTCCTAGCAGCAGTCGCACAAAATCTGATTTTCACTATCAGTCTTTCCAGTACCCAACCACAGCAGGCACTTTTCGGGATCAGATCTCCTGGGCTGGAAATGTATACAAAGGGCATGCATCCATAAGCATAAGCAACCCTAACCATCAGGACAATAGGACATTCAGCTGTGCTGTGAAGAATCTCCCAGATGTGCACCATGACATCCCCCTGACGGAACTAACAATCACAGAAAGGGGTTTTGGTACCATGCTGTAATCTGCGGCCCTTCTTTCTATTCTTGTTTTCATTCCCTCAGCAGTAGTTATTGTTCTGCTGCTTGTGAGAATATCAAGGAAGGCTGCAGGGATGAAAAAGCAGAGAAAGTCTAGCTATAAGAAAAATTCTTGGAGTTCCAGGAAGATGGCAGAAGAGAAACTGGAGGTTAAACAAGCTCTGGCATAGAAAGCAGTTTTAGTGTTCCAGTGAAAAGTCCTAAGTCAGAGAATCACAAGTGTGCCATCACAGTACAGAGAGTTAGGCCAGAGAGGGAAAATCCTAGCAAGGAGACAGATCTGAGCACTTGCCAGCAGTCGCGGTTGTGGCTGTGGCTGCAGCGTCTGCAGCCGTAGCCACCATATCTGCAACACAGAGAGTCCGGGATGAAAGAGCCAGATGCGGCAGGTGAGCAGATTCTATTCAACACCAGCAAGAACCGACAAGAAGCAGACATCTTCAGCCTGCAGTTAGCAGACCAGAGACAACCCAGGAACCAAGACTCGGCGTGAGTAGAAGCCTGACGTCCTCACTCCTTCTCAGAGAGCAGAGGAGGGAAGCCACCTCTCATCCCCCACTACCGAAGATCTCCATCTTTGAAACTGACAAGGGCCTGGCTGAGCTGCTAGCTCCAACTCAGGCCTTGGAAGAAAACTAGAGTCATTTAGGAGCTCACAAGAACCTAAGCTGACGTGCCAGACTTAGCTCAACCCAGGGAAAAGTCACCCGGCTCAGGCTGCCAGGCCCAGGAGTGGCTTTCTTCAATAAGAAACAGAGAGATAGGCTGTCCATCCCTTTAGCAGCCTCTACAATCAATTGAATTCAGTTAACATAAATCCTGGGCTCTGTGAGTGTCTCAGGAGCTAACCCCTCAGGGAAAATCTACTTTTTGCTGAAAGGCCTCCACTGTACCCAGAACCTAGCCTCATCACAGCATCTCCAAAGTAGAGGAAACAGCCATCTCCCTCTTGTGATACTCAAAACAGATTTCCCTCCCACTGAATTAGACTGGGAGAAGGATCACAAAATCCTGGGTAAAGCAGAGCATTTTTGTGCCTTCTCAAACAAACTGACTTAAGAAACCAACCAAGCCACAGGAAAATCAAACACCACAAGAAGACCAGAGACTCCAACAAGAGGCTGGTTATGGACACAAGGGAAATACAGGACTTTCCTAACCCTACCCAAAAAATCAAAGAATTTTTTTTTTACCTTTCATAAATTTTTTTTCTAAAACTTCTTTTAATTCTTACCTTAAAAATTGTTTTCTAGTAACTATTTTTTCTCCCTCTTATAATTTTTATTTTAGGGGTATATGTGTGTGTGCGTGTTTTCTTTCTTTTTTTTTCTTTTTAAAAAAAATTATTTTTTGTTTTTTGTTTAGCTCTACTGAACTTTTAATCCTTTTTCTTCCTCATTCTTTTCACCTTATCGTCTCTTTCATTCTTCTTTGTGTGACTAATTGCTGTTCTGCACATCCTCAGATTACCTGTAGTCGATTATTAGACCTTATCCCCCACAGAGTACACAATTAATCAAGAAATATATTAATCAATTCAAAACCTCTTAGACTTACATTCTTTAATAGCAGTACTAACTCTTTATACCTATATAATATTTTAATTATTTTTATTTTTAAGTTTTTCATGTCTCCTTTATATCCCTCCACTTCTCTAATTATATCCTCATTCTTCTCTGAATATTTCGTTTTTATGTTTGCATAATTTTTAAGCATTGCACTTTTTAATTTTTAAATTTTGCTTTTCTATTTTTTCGTTCTCTTTTTTCTCTTTCTCTTTCTTCTTTTTTTATCTCTCTCTATTTTCATACTATCCAACCTATTCCCGCTTTGAGATTTTGATTTAGTTAATTCTCCCTGTGCCTTCCCACATCCCTCGATTCCTATTTTTACCCACATATCTCCCTAAACCTAATAATTTCTGGATTGCCAAATTCTTCTTTGTGGTTCATCACGCATTAATATATAGTTGTTTGATGTTGAAGAGATATATCTGTTGAACTAGATTGTATCTACAGCATTTGGACAGTGCAACTACGAATTTTGGGTGATGCTTGTCTTAAGATAGTGTTCTAGCACCAAACTGGTGTTACTTTCATGGAAAATGGGCAGAGTAAGCCTGAAAAACACAAGAAAAAAGACAACTCTGGGTATCTTAACTCCCACTCATAATAATCAGGGGACAGAACAGATAATGCAATCCAGATTTAGAGTTCCCAAATAGTTCTACAAACACTGCTGGTAAACATGGTAAATGAACAAAGGACTCTATATGGCTGTGATAAGGAGAGAAAGGAGGCAAACCAAAGGTTAAACCAAAGGTTAATACAGGAATATCATGAGTGTGAGGAAGCTACTCAAAAACTAATACAGGAATGGAATATCATGAGTGTGAGGAAGCTACTCAAAAACTAATACAGGAATTGCTTGATCAGGTTGAGAACACTCAAAGAGAAAGAGAGGAATGGCGTGAGCCGGCTGAGAACACTTAAAGAGAACTACAGGAATGGCGTGAACGTGAGAAGCTAAGCAAAGAGTAATACAGGAATTGAGAGAGCAGATTGAGAATGCACAAAGATCACTAAAGGCATTGTTGGAATCCATTAACAAAGAGCTGAATGAGGTCGGGGAGACCATAACCAATCAACTAAGTGATTTGAGAATAAACACTGAAAACCAAATTAAGGAAGTAAAGAAGTACATTCAAGATGTGAAACAAAGCTGCAACAAAGAATTTGAAGCCATGAAAGCTGACCAATTAGAAGGAAAAGAAATAAAAAAGAAAGTCGAAACTCTTGACAGCAGGTTAGACCATGCAGAAGATCAAATCTCGGTATTGAAGACAGCCTAGATATTACAGAAAGAACATACAACCATCCAAGATAAGTCCAAGAAATATGATAGATCTATTCAAAACTTGGAAGACACCATCAGAAGGCCTAATCAAAGGATAATGTGTGTAGAGGAGCACCTAGAAACAGAAGTTAATGGTTAGGAAATTGATTTAACAGGATCCGAGCAGAGAACTTCCCAATCATGCAAAAAGATAGGCCTATTCAGATACAAGAGGCTTTGAGAACTCCAAATAGACCAGACCAGAATAGGACATCCCACCGTCACATTATAATCCACACAGGATCAATTCAGACCAAAGAAAAGATCGTTAAAGCTGTCAGGGAGTAAAGATCAATCACCTATAAGGAAAAACCAATTAGAATCACCTCAGATTGCTCAGCATAGACAATCAAAGCAAGAAGAGCCTGGAATGATGTATGCCATGCCCTAAAGACAAACAACTATCAACCAAGAATACTGTACCCAGCTAAACTCTCCTTCCTAACTGAAAATAAAATACAAACCTTCCATAACAAAGAAAAATTTAAACAATATATTTGCACCAAACCAGCCCTACAAAAATTCTTGAAGATGTGCTGCACATAGAAAACAAACAAGACCACAACAGAGGCCAAGAACCTCACCCAAACTGAGAATCCAAGGACTATAAGAAGAAGGCAGTGGCTCAGCCCCAAAGAAGGTGGATTAAATGGCAGGAACTCCCAAATACCTCTCAGTCCTATTTCTCAAAATTAATGGACTTAACTCTCCAATTAAGTGACATAGACTGTCTAGTTGGATTAAAAAGCAACATCCTTCTATCTGCTGCCTTCAGGAGTCACATTTTGCCCATAAAAACACACACATTTTCATTGTGAAAGGGTGGAAAAAAATGTACCAAGCAAACGGTCCCCATAAACAGGCGGGAGTTGCAATTCTAATATCAGATAAAATAGACTTCAAATTCAAATTCGTGAGAAGAGATAAAGAAGGTCGCTACATACTAATAAAGGGATCTCTCCTTCAGGAGGATATTAAAATTCTAAATATCTATTCGCCAAACAACGGAGAACTCAAATTTATCCAAGAAACACTACTTTCCCTCAAATCCCACATAGATCCAGAGACTAATTGTATGGGATATTAGCACACCATTTTCCCCACTAGACAGATAAACTTGGCAAAAAACTCAAGAGAGAAACCGCAGATCTAAACAACTACATAGTTCAACTAGATTTAACAGACATCTATCAAATATTTCAACCAGCAGCATCAGAAAACACGTGTTTCTCAGCAGCACATGGAAAATTTTCTAAAGTAGACCACGTTTTAGGCCACAAAGCAAACTTGCCCAAATTCAGAAACATTGAAGTTATACCTTGCATACTCTCAGACCACAAGTGAATAAAATCAGAACTCAACAACAAAAAAAAACCACGAAAGAAAGTCGTATAACACATGGAGGCTGAACAACGCCCTGCTGAGTCACAAGTTGGTCATGGAAGGGATTAGAAGGGAAATTAAACTGTTCATTATATTCAACAAAAATGAGCACACAAATTACCAGCTCCTCTGGGACACAGCAAAGGCAGTACTCAGGGGCAAGTTTATAGCTCTGACTTCCTACATTAACAAATTGGAGAGAACTGAAACCAACAATATAATGAGACATCTGAACCTCCTTGAAGAAGAGCAGCAAGATAAACCTCAATGCAATAGACGGAAAGAAATAATTAAAATTAAATCAGAATTAAATGAATTAGAATCCAAAAAACTATGGAAAGAATAAAAAAAACAAAGAGTAGGTTCTTCGAAAAAATTAACAAAATTGACAGACCATTAGCAAATCTTATCAGAAAAAGAAGAGAACACACCCAAATAAATAAACTCAGAGATGAAAATGGAAACATCACCACGGAAACAACCAAGGTTCAGAACATTATAAGGGAATACTCCTCAAAACTTTATGCTAATAAGTTTGAGAACTTGGCAGAAATGGACCAATTCCTAGCAAATATTGACCTGCCAAAACTAAACCAAGATGAGTCCAACCATCTTAACAGGCCCATATCAAGCTGAAAATAGAAACAGCAATAAAAGACCTCCCATCTAAGAAAAGTTGAGGACCAGATGGCTTTACAGCAGAATTCTACAAGACCTTCAAAGCACCAACACACCAATGTTCCTCCAAATCTTCAATAAAATTGAAAAAGAAATTTCACTACCGAACACATTCAATGAAGCCATCCTAACCCTCATCCCAAAACCAGGAAAGGACTCATCAAAGAAAGAGAACAATAGACCCATTGCTTTGATGAACATTGATGCTAAACTTCTCAACAAAATTTTGGCCAGTCTATTTCAACAATTCATCCAAAAAATCATACACCACGATAAAACAGGTTTCATTTCAGGGATGCAAAGCTAATTCAATATATGCAAATCAATTAATATAATTCATCACATCAATAGGAGAAATGATAAGGAACACATGATTATCTCAATGGATGCAGAAAAAGCATTTGAAAAGATCCAAAACCCCTTTGTGATGAAG